GTCGCGGAGGCGGTGTAGGATCTCGACTCGGGGGCGCAGGGGCAGCTCCTGGAATGTGGACTCCCGCAGGGGGTTGGGTTTCCCTTCCTCCAGCTCCCAGCGGTAGTTGATGATGTCCTCCAGGTAGCTGTGAAACGTCTGTGATCTAGTCAAGAGAAGAAATCCCCCCATGCTCACTGTTGTTAACCATGCCAGAAACACCTAACGCGACAGGGACAACCTAAATAAACACAACACAGAGACAGTTAACACTTGAAGGAAAACTGTGCCCTAGGACAGCTGTGGTTTGCTGTATCTCTCTAGTTTAGGTTTCCAAGCTCTCCTACCAGCACCGTATTATAGTTGCGACATCGTGGGATTTCACGTTATACATATGCAGCTTACAGCACTCTGTATTACTATTATTTCATTCCAAGATGAAAAAACAAGGTGAACATGATCTCACCCCACTCCATCCCCTTTTTATCACAGTGGGCAGTACCTTGCGCCGTCACAGGCATCGACCCTTTACGACACCAAGATGCAATGCAGCAGACTAGTCTGATCCCATCTGCCTCTCTCCATTTCAGCTGACTCCTATCTTCTTCAGCTTTCCATTTGCTCCTTACATCTGCCATTGCTAAGCCCTGCTCCTCCCTCTGCCTCTTAGGAAGTTTTCCATGCCCCAGTTCAGTGGCTCCAAAATTTTCGATAGCTCCTCTCTGCTGCTGTCTCCTTGCCTCCCATGCTCCTGTCACTACCCCCAGCCTCCTCTCCCTCCATGTGCAAAGCTACTGCCACTTTTCTCTGACTCCAACATCAGTGGCTCTGTCAGGACATATGCACAGCCTACATTAGCAGACCAGACCTTGGGCCCTGCTGCACAGCAAGGCTCATTCCTAACATGAGTGTGCCTCACAAACAGTGTTCAGCCTGGAGCACGCTCTCCTCTCCAGATGGTCAGGTTGAACACCTGCGCTCTTCTTAAACTAAAATTTTCTTTCTCGCTTGCTGGCTGGGCCGCACTAAGCGCCCCTTTCTTTACCAGCAGTTCACCATCTAACCAAGGAAACACATACATTTCTTATCCTCGACTGGTATTGATGAGTATTATAAATTGTCCCATCTGACATATCTTTGCTGATGAAGCTTAAGGCTAAAAGACCTCATATTTACATTTATATCTTAAGGAGAGCTTATTCTGACTGTGGAAAAATTCAGAGAAGGGAATGAAGAAGGGATGGTGAGACCATGTTTCCCTAAACACAAAACTTCCCAAAGAACAGTCCATGTCGCTTAGACTCCTGAGACTTGCCAGACTCTCTTAACCTACCAGAATAGTGTCCTGAGCACAGAAAAGCGGGAGGCCCGCTGTCCCCAAAACCCAGCCACTCTTACACACACGGGAAGTCCATATGCCTGGAAGAACACTACTGGGCACACATTCCCACTAACCCTCAAACAGGCAGCTCAGCTTGATAGGTTTTTGGCACAAACGGATTACTCTATATGATTAATGGAACTTTGCCAGCACTACAGAATCGCATTTGGCTGAGAAATTGCTAACTACTACAGAAGCTATTATTTTTTAACAAAGAGATAGAGGAGCATGATCCAATTGGAAGAAGATTCTTAAAAGTCAATGAGAAGTTAGCTATTAAATAGGGGGGCTTCAGACATTTGGTGAAGACTGGACTTCTTTACCAGGATTGTGACTGGACAGCGACCGTGAGAACTGAGGAACAGATGACACATGATTTCCTCAAGTCACATCCACCTGGCAGCATTTCTCTTCCTCTACAAAGGGAAGGAGATCGATGCTACCACCCTGCAGATTACATTCTCTATGAATTAGTTTCTTTCTGCCTGTCAAATGAAAGCTGACCTCCTAGAGCTAACTTCTCTCACCGGCTGAGTTTTATCAGCCCCTCTGTTGTATTTAACAACAGGTACTTGAATGCCCATGGATCTAGTGGTTTCCTGCAGGTTTTGTTCTTTTCCACATGGCACAAGCAAAACATCAGTATTTCCAAGTGTCAATGTTTTGCTCTGCTGATATCAGCAATCAAATACAAGTAACTTGAAATAGTCTCTTTCATTCAAAACATTCAGCCAACATAATAAAGAAGGACAGTTTCATGAAATGATTTGGGTTGTCTCAAGTACAAATTTTAGGGTAAAAACTACAGAAACCATCCTTTTCTGTAAAGTGAATTGAATGCATAGTCAACCTACCTTAAGTAGCTGTACATTCCCACAGTACCTTCATTATATTCCTCAAGACCCAATCCAACTTTCAGCAAGGACTTCAGCTTGGCAAAAAGCATGATACAAGACTCTTTTTATAAACTCCTTGTCTTTAGAAGTGCTATTTGATCACAAACAGCTTAAATATTAGGTATTTACTAAAGCCACCAAATAAGAAACAAAAAAAGAAAGATTTGATTAAAGCTTTTAGAATAGTAATAACAACCCGAGTCTCCTTTCCTGAAAGCAGGCCAACGCCTGTAGAAGCATCAGATGCATCAGATGCTTCTTCCATCATGGAAAGGGATGGAGAGTATCCAAATTCCAGTACCCCAAGTCCAATGTTTTGAAACTCTGTCAGAGCTTAAGGCAGAAGATTATCCGATCAGATCTGATCTAGGGGCTCTGGCGATTTCCAGTAAAATTGACCAAATAATTTTCCTAGGATCCTGGAAAACAGTGGTGACACGGGATACAAGTTACAGGGCTTTGTCTGTTCCTATTTTTCTGGCTAAAAATTTTTCTACAAAAAAGGGAAAGGCATGCATCAGACAAATACTTTTACCACTTGCATGGGTTCACTTTTCTTGGTCTTCCATTTTAGCTGCTCTCAAAGAAAACTGACCCAGGAAGCCCCTCAGTTCCAGAAGATCATCTGAAATCTCTGCCAATATAACTCTCATTCCCTCTGGGGACTGGCTCTGCCGACCTAACCAATTTGGTTCAAGTCTGACTTTCACATAAGTGGCTAACACTAAAAATTTCTGCCATACAGCTCAGTGTCTGAAACATTACAAGCTCTGTTCTTAAAAGTACTTTGAGTTCCTACCCCATCAATTTTCAAAGACGGCTACTGTGCATTTGTTGCTTAGAATAAGGATAGAAATGAGAACCAGAGATGGGAGCCAGATGCCTCAAGGCATTCCCAATCACTTTCAATCCTAGCCAATTTATATCTCCCCGCTTCATGAGGGCTGGCCTCATTTTCCCAGACAAATACGGGGTCCCAGTCTTCAACCTGTCTGCCACACCTATGCTTAGTCTCTCTTGGCCTGTCTCTATTAAACTTCCCTGTGAAAAATGTTTCTGAAACAGACTGCCTTGTTCACAGAAGAAAATCTGCAGGGAGCATGGCAACCTGCAAGAACTCTGGCCTTGGAGTTCTTCCATGGACAAAGCAGAAACGCTTGCGACTTATTGTTTAGCGTTACCCATTCAACCCAAATCCAAGAATCAAAGAGACAGGGTCCAGGAGTGGACTGACTTGGATAGATTCTGTCAGCTACCCTTCTTCAACGCAGTGAACAGGACAGTGATCCACCTGCAGGTGTGGTAAGTCCTACAGAGTATCTGCTGCAGTTGAGAAACTCTGAGAACCCTTTTCTAGGTGAGAAGAAGACAGGAGATTTCCAAGATAATGAGATGGATATATCTCTTCTGATGTTCTCAGCATCACCGACACTGATAGAGGCAAGAGTAAGTCAGCAATGACCTTTCTCTACAAATTCGGATATTCATCAGCTGGAATAGATTCATACTTTCTGTTTCAGAGCATGTATTGAAAGGAAAATCCCTTTTCCTATTATCTTGTACCAGTATTAGCAAGGGCCATGGCTGTTTAGTTTCTGAGATTAAGAAGGACTGGGTGT